CCAAATTAGTGATCAACATTACCTAAAAGAGCCACAGAAGCATGAATTCATTGTTTCATTTACTATCTATCTACCTACCATTCTCACAGCAAAATGACTGACCAAGTAGTCTACAATTGGTAATAACACAGTAAAAGCACCCTGACTGGTTGGTAACTAAATCACAGAGTGTTTTAATATCATGTGCTGCAAAGATGCATTAAAGAGCCACTTGAGCTCCCAAGCCTAAGTTTGAGTATCACTGCTCCAGACCATATGGGTTCATTTTACAAGTAAAAATGAAGATTTTTCTAACTGCTGGTGCTGCAAACTCATTTTGGGATTAGAAAAATATTCAGCTTGTGTTCTATGTGTAATAAAGAAAGATTTTCCAGCTGAAATTTGGCTCACCTATCAATAGAATTGTTAGCCAAAATAGCATCCAGCTGACGCGCTCTAAGATGTGTTGTCTCTGTTAGGGTAACAGGAATAAAAGCTTATTTTAGTTATTAAACTAAATAGACATAACTGACTATATAGACATGACAGAAAGGAAGCAGATCTGTGAAGTAAGAGTGACATTTTCACATTGTTACTTTGCAGAGTAAACTCACATCCAATATATTTTTACCATCAGTATAGGCCTATTTAATTCTCACGTATCAAGAATGCAACATTTAGCATAAAAACATGCAACAGAAATTTCTGAAAAGGCAAATTCCTCTTGAAACGATAGAGAGATTTCTTTATGCCTTTTCTTTCGAGCAATAGGTATGCTATAAATATTGTCTGTGAAGTAAAAACAAGCACTTGTATCCAGATTCTTCAGTCCCTGCATTGTCATCTCTGAGACTAAACCTCTAGAGTACATCTCCACATGACACATTTACCTAAAGTGGCTGCACATGTCTAACGTAGGCTTTTGTTTAGTGATCATGGTCGTTTTGAGTTTGTTTAAATACTGAGTCCTAATGCTTACCCACTAATCCCAGGACGTTTTGAAATGCTCTCAAGCTTTTAGAGGGAAAAACTGTTGCATGGACTTTGCAGATGAAACTGACCACAGTTCACTGGAACCAGCCAGTTCAGATAAATAAAATGAAAGCAGACATTTCTTGTGAATATCTTGAAAGCTTTTCCATTAGACTGTATCAGGGGTATACAATCTTCCCTACCTTCCGATTTCCTCTTTCTTTAAATACTGTGTATATATAAATTTATCTGCTTCATTTGATATCAAGCAAAGATCTTTGGGGGAAAGCTATATCTTCCAGTACTTTGTTTTATACTGCATTATAATCACAGATATTACTATAATATCAAATTTAAACTCTAAACATTCCTAAAAGGAGCGTCTGCAAACCACCACCTCTGAACTTACAAAACTAATTAGCAAGCAAATAAAGCATTTGGTCTGTGAATCATTTTAAAGTTGTTCCCGCTCCATGCCAGGCTTAGGTGCAGTATTCAGTAATATTTGGGTAAGCCTCTTCACTGGATGTCAAAGGGCAGTCTAGGAAAGCACAGTATATAATATGGCAAATGAGAATCTATTGAACAGATAGATGGAAATGCCTCAGGTTAGATTTTCATTAAGGGCTCAGATTGGACATTCATTTTTGATATCATGATCATTTGGACTGTGTTAATCTGGATGTTGTCTGGACAGGTAGCTCTAATACCTTAATAGCCTATATTTTATACATAAAGAAAACCTATGCATTACACACACACACCTTGCTAAGGAAATGAAGGAAAATTTTGTGCCATGGTAATACAAACTATTAAGCAGTAATCACATCCTGCTAAATTTGAGACATCACTAATGGTAATAGTAACCTTGGCCAGCAGCAAAGCAGGGAGTTCACAGACACAAAAGTATCCAGGGTACTATGAAAATGCACTGGGAAGTTTTCTCAATATCATTCTCCAGCACATAACACCCATATGTGACAAGAAAGTGATGAGTCACGGTATCTGTGCCTAAGGAGAGGGGTGCAAGCGAAGTCTGACACAGTTGCTACCTTTCTAAAAAACAAAACACCTTAGGTCCTCAAATCAGAGAGAGGCTACTTGTTTGTCATGTCTCCTTGAATTGGAAAATGAAACAGGTGGATTATTATGATGTGTAGCCCGTAAATCCCATTGCTCACTCCTTCATTCTAGCCCATGTTCTTATCACCTCTGATCCCCCAGGTTATTCGTACATTAGGCGCTTCCATCATATCACCTTTCAGCCAAGCTGGGGAGATGTGCAATTAGCTTCTTTTCAAGTTGTTGCTTACGCTACCCCATTGTTTGGCTCTAGGAATAACACAGCCACCACCCATCCCTGGGGCCAGATCACGCCCTGTTGATACTTGCACATGCGGAAGAGGCCCTCCTTATCTCCCTCTGTCAAAGAGGCAAGTTAAAGTGGTTTCAAACATCTTTTGACCCAGACCCCACAGAAAACTCTTTGTGGGGGTCCATGGTGACCATCAGTCTGCTGTTGACAAGCATCATCCCCCTCTAGACCCCATGGAACCTTCAGGAGAGTTAATCCAGCCTAAAGCTTTTCTGTGGAGCCCCTCCATGCCATGGAATTCCTCTTCAGGAGCAGGAGCAGCCTGAGAAACAGCACTACCAGGGAGCCGGGTTGGGAGCTAAGGAGCAGATGTATAGGACCTCCATCTGGATGTTCCTGGTCTCCACTAAGCCATGGTTCTGAAGGCTGAACTCCCTTTACTTTCCAGAAGTGAATCAATACTCTCTCTCCAGATAGAGGAAGTGGGAGGAAATTCAAGGGAACCCTCAAGTTTTCCTTCCCTCTCTGCACTCCTGTCTCTACAGGAGGAGGTAATTGGGCTATTGTTTAGAAACCAAAGACCATCACTTCTGTAACAAACCTGGTACTCATTCTGGATTCCACTGAAGCCAATGGAAGTTTTATCCTTGCTTTCACTGGAATAAGATTAAGAATATTCTCTAGTCTCCAAAAAGAAAAACAGGAGTACTTGTGGCACCTTAGAGACTAACAAATTTATTAGAGCATAAGCTTTCGTGGACTACAGCCCACTTCTTCGGATGCATATAGAATGGAACACGGCTGCTACTCTGAAATCTAGTCTCCACTATTTTATGGCCCAATTCTGAAGCCTTTTTCTCAGGACTGGGCCCTTAGAAAGCAGAAGTAAGACAGCTCCTATTCTGAGCCTGTGGCTTTGTAGAAAAGACTGCCCACTACTGCATCTTTTGCTTGGCTACATTTTAAAGCAACTGTAAAACTGCAATTAGGTTTGCAAACACTTATAGCTCATTATTAATACTGTGTGTAGCAGATGACCAAAGACACACATTTTACCTGTGAACAAAATAGTCATTTCACTGAATGTAAAGAAACTGCCTGAAAAATTCATAAGATCTGTTTCACAAATTACCAATTCAACCATAAGAGTGTATAGTAAAAATGACAAAAGATTTGTTCTTACAGTTGATAAAAAATTTATACCAAGGCATTCAAGTAAAGTTACTTTCTGTGTTCTGATTTAATGAATCATTTGAGCAGTATCTGGCTGGGTGACACAGATGTAGGGCTCGCTGAAGCCTACTCTAATGCCTACTGGTATAGCCTTCCTTGGGACAGTAAAGCCAGAACAATGTGTCAAACTGAAGTAATATCAAAGAAAGTAAGTGCAGTACCGGGGACGCTATGAGGTTGGCCAACAACACTTCTTGACCTGTGAATGTCTGGTAAGTACTTCTCTGTCCTACAGGCTCCAGTGACCCAGGAAGCCCAAAAGAAGAAGCAGCAGTGCGGTAATAAACAGTCTCTGCAATAAGATTTTTGCAATCTTGTAATTCAAGCTGAAAGACATACAAAGATTGCTTGATGGTTTTAACCCTACTGAAAGGCAGAGTCTGACACTGTGTGAAACCACCAGTGATTTCTTAAAAGGTGAACTAATGTTAAATGTTTAATATGAATTTGTGAAAAGAACTGCCTGTTTTAGAACAGTGAAACCTTTACATTTTGCCTTTATTTAACTTTAAACCTGTACACTAATTTGGAGAATAAAAATGGGGAAAGTTACTTGATGTGTTGACTATAGTTTGCGTTGTTTATGACTTCTGAATTATGTTGAAAAGAAGTATGTAAAAATCAGGCTTATGATTAAGAAAAAAACTGCTGAAGACCAGATCTCACCTCACGCAAACTAAAATGATGTAGGAGTCTAGACATTTTAAATGGTTTAATTATGTTTAAATGCAGATTGGGGATGTTTAATTAAATATCCCAGTCGGAATGTGTCTGAATAAGTTATGGTTGCAAAATGAGAATTTTTCTCTCTCAAAACACAAGTTTATTCAACAGTGTGTTGAAAAGTAATTTGGGTATATAATTTTTTAAATGTACTGCCTATTTTCAAGTAAAAACAAATGAATTCCTGCTGTAGAGAAAAATGAATTATTTAAGAAAGGTAAGAACACCCTAAAATTACTATGTAATAGAAAGTATCCTTTAGTATTTTCCACTGTGTTTTCTTCCATTCTAAAAGTTTTTCAAAAAAAGTTTATTATTGAATATGTAATATCTATTATAATACACAAAGGCTATGTTTTATAGGTTACACAACAGATAACTGGATCAAAATATAACAAAGCCTCTGCTGTAAAGTACTATATATCAGAGAGAAAATGAATGTTTTGAAGAGCTGAGTGAAAAGAGAAGTATTGCCTAAAAAAATTGCCACAACACTGACCTGAGGTCTGTACGATTTAGTATTTTTTAAGCAAGCTGTAAATTTTCAAATGATTATTTGTTATTGAAAACCTGACAGCTACAAAACTGCTGGCAAAAGAAATACTGTTGAATTTATGTGAATAAACCTGTGTATAGTGCCTAGCATAGTTAATCAGATTTAAAGAAAAACACCCTTATATTTTATATAAAATTTTTCTAATCCTTAGAATTATGTCCTTAGAATTATGTCACCTCTTGATAAATGTCATATCCGTTATTTAGAATAATTGCAGTACTTACGCTGATAACAACACAACAGCAATTAGGGTCCATTCCGGCATTTTGTGAATAATATTTGTATTTGTTAACCTGAAAAATAATAAGGGCAACGTCAAAAATTGTATGTTTTAGAACACAAATAAGATCAGAATAGTTGAAACTTACTATTAAGCAAGAATAAGGGGCTGGGTTTTAAGGCCTGATTTTGAGAAATGGTGAGTACCTCCAAGACCCATTGAATTGTGTGCTAGTATATTTATATCCAAGTATCCTTAAAAGAAGATTTTCAACCTCCTTCCTATTTATAGACACCCACAATGAGATCAGATTTTGGTCCCTGTTACAGCAGTGTTAAAGCAGAGTAAGTCTATGGAATTCAGTGGAATTTGTCCAGATTTACACTGGAGTAGCTAATATCAGAATCTGGTTCGCTATATTTTTAACAATATTGCACAATATCTAGGTATTTTAAATTTTTGGCCTTCATCACCCTCTTATATCAGCACCTCACAAATAGTAAGAACACCCCTCTTTCTTTTCTACATCTGTTGTAATAGCTTGAAAGGTAGCAGAATTCCTCCTCCCACTCACTCATTGCTCCTATGCATGAGTGGTCTGTGATACAGGGGGGGAAAAAAAAGCTCTGTCAAAGAAACAGAATTTGTATTTAGTTCAGAATTCAGTGAGGTCCAAGGTCATTCTTATTTCCAGAGAGAGAGAGTTCAGAAGCCTAGGTCCCATACCAGCAAAAGTTCTGACTCCAATACTCCATATCTCCCCCTACTGATCAAGTTTCATGTTTCACATCTAGAGTAGCTGTCAACAGAGGTCATGGTTGCAAAGAGATACACAGGTTTCCACATAGCTAAGGCCAATCACCTGGTGATCTCTGAATACACTGGTCTACAATTTTTGAGAAGTCGTCTGCTTCAGAGATAAAATGTGCTATTTATTATGTATTTTGATGTGCTGAATTCAAATATGACAATTAAAACTGATTGGCTACTGTTTCTAAAATATTTAAGTTTTTACATTTTATGTCTATGTATATTGCGTAGATAGTAGAGTTTTAATCATAAATTGTAAACCTAGGTCTTTTCATGTGTTTATGGTTGCTTTACATGATAATATTTCACCTGTCCTGTTTATGGAACACTTTAAAAATCAGCAAAAGGGTTATATAAATAAAATTTATGATGAAACAAAAGGCAAAAAACTGTTATGTACATAGTTTAGTCCTATTCAGTGTCTACTCGGT